CCCCCCCCCCCTCCCCTCCCCCCTGGACGGCTGGCGTGCCTTCGGGCCCTTCTCCCCGCGGATGCCCGCCCCCGGCGCGCACAGAAGTGGTCCTTGCCCTCCGCCCCTCCTGCCTCCCCCAGGAGGTTGACCCCGCGCGCGTGAGCATCCCCTCCCGCCTGCTCGCCCCTCCTTGTCCGGGTCGGCGTCCGTTCCGGCCCCTGCTGCCCCATTCGCGTGGCTCGGCCCACCTCCAGCCCCGCGCCCCCCGGTCCTCCGCTCGGCCGCGGCCATGACCGCCCGAATGCACTTGCCCTCCTATAGAAAGGGCCCCGAGGTTGGCCCCCACAAGGGGCCGGCGGCCGGGAGCCCGGACGGGCCGCGGCTCTTCGGCTTCCCGCTGAAGTATGTGTCGCTGGTGCTGCTGGTCATCCAAAACAGCGCGCTGGTGCTGACGCTGCGGCAGTCGCGCGTGGCCGCCGCCCCGGGCGGCGTGCCGTACGCCTCGTCCACGGCCGTGGTCCTGAGCGAGACCCTGAAGCTGATCACCTGCCTGCTGCTGGTGTTCCTGCTGGATGCCCGGTCCTCGCCGCGGGCCTTCGGGGTCCTGCTCCGGCGGTTCATCTTCACCCCGCGGCAGCTGCTGCCGCTGGCCATCCCGGCCGTGCTGTACACCCTGCAAAATAACCTGCAATATGTGGCGGCCAGCAATCTGGACGCCGCGGTCTTCCAGGTGACCTACCAATTGAAGATCATTGCCACGGCCCTGTGCTCGGTGCTGATGCTGGGCCGGTCCCTGTCCAAGACCCGGTGGCTGTCGCTGGTGGTCCTGACCGCCGGGGTGGCCCTGGTGCAAATGTCCCCGGCCGAAGTGGCCAACCTGGTGGACCTGACCGTCGGGTCGATGCTGTCCGGGCTGCTGCCGCAGGCGGCCAACTTCGTCCGGGCATCCGGCGGCCAGCGCGAAGCGCGCCATGCGGCGGCGGCGGCGGCGGCGGCCCCCGGGGCCGGGCCTTCGGGGCTGCTGCGCACCGCGCGTAGCACCCTCAGCGGCGGTGTGGCGGCCCTCTCCAGCGGCGGCCCCGGCCGGCAGAATGCCTTCGTCGGCCTGGTGGCCGTGCTGGTGGCCTGCGCCCTGAGCGGCTTTGCCGGGGTCTACTTCGAGCGCATCCTCAAGAAGAACAGCGGTGGGGTGGAGCCGCCGCGCGAGCCGACCGTGGCCGGCGGCTCGGCCGGTGCGCCCCCGGTGGAGCCGGGCCCCCCCGGCAGCACGCCCCACCAGGCCGGCTACCCGTTGCACCCGCTGGTGGTGGCCGGGGCCGGGCCGGCGGCCGCCGGCGAGGCCAAGGCCAACTACTTCTGGACCGAGCCCGGGCCCGATCGCCGGGCCGGAGTCGATGTGGCCAGCAAGAATGACGCTCGACGCCTGGCCGTGGTCAATGCCGCCTATCGGGCCGACCCGTCGGTGTGGGTGCGGAATGTGCAGCTGGCTCTCTTCGGCGCGGGCATCGGCCTGGCCGGGGCCCTGCTGGCCGACGGGGCGCACATCGATGAGCACGGCTTCCTCGGGGGGTACACCGGCTGGACATGGCTGGCCATCGCCAACCAAGCCCTCGGGGGGCTGCTGGTGGCCGTCGTGGTCAAGTACGCCGACAACATCCTCAAGGGCTACGCCACCTCGGTGTCGATCATCCTCTCGGCCATTGCCTCGGTGTATCTCTTCAACTTTGTCATCTCCTCCACCTTTGTCGTGGGAGCCACATTGGTGTGCGTGGCCGTGTATCTGTACTCCTGAGAGTGACCGGCCCGGAGGCCCAGAGGAGGGGCGCCTTGCCCGCTTGCTGCGTCGCTCGCTCGCTCGCGGGTTTGCCGTTGCCCGGTCGCGGCTTGCTGCCGGCCCCGCACACGCAAGGCCCCGTGCGTGGTGCGGGCCCGGGCGAGTGCCGCTCGGGTGGCCTTCCCTTGTGCGCACTGCCAACATCATGCGAAGAGGCCTCCCCCCTCGCCCAATGAAAAACCCTCCCCGGCGCTTTGCCTGTTTCCGTGTGTTGTGTGCTGCATCCATGTCACCCACTTCCATGCTGTCTTCCTTTCGATGGGCGGGGAGGCCGAGGGCCGGGAGCCAGGCCCTCCGGAGGCCTCGAGGCGATCCCGCCCTGGCGAGGGGGAGCCCGGACGTCACGCCGGCGAGTAAGATCGCCGCGGCGGAGCCTGGGCCCCCCCTCCGGGGGAGGCGCGTGTGTCGGTCCTTCGGATGGAAGCAGGCCCAAGAGGGGCTTTGTTGAGTGTTGGGATCGTGGCGGCAAGCCCGGTTGGGCGTGGGGGGCTGTGGTCAAGACAGTGAGCCGGCCGCTCCCTGGGCGGTGTTCACCGCGGCTGTTTTTTTTTTTTTTTTTTTGCAACTGCACCCCTTCCAAGAGAGCTGATGCATGCGTGTGTGTGTGTGTGTGTGTGTGTTGCGTGGAAGGACAGCACCTCCCTCCTCCTCGAGGGGTCTCGCCGAAGTGTGTTTCCGCGGGTCCAGGCGCCTTTGGGGGGTGGGGGGCGGTCCCAGGTGCGGCTCTTGTCGCGGCAGGGGGTGTGGCGTCCGACCGGCGGCGGCGGCGGGGCCATCTCGGTGCCGCGCAAGCGCCTGCGTGCTGGAGGTGTAGAACGATCGGCGGAGCACGGGGGCAGAGGTGTTTCAGTTGTTGTTATTGTTGTTTATCGCCGGTAGCAGTGCTGTGAAATCAGCACACGGGCGCGTCCAGCTCCGTGACGGCCGCCGGCCGACACCGGCGCTTGGGCCGTGCGTCGTGCGCCGGGGCCGACACAGGCGCGGCGAGCGGCAATCGGCCCCGCTCCGGGCACCGGCCTCGCGACCGGTGACCGTACGCGTGCCGGGGTGGGGACGGGGGATGCGGCGGGCGGAGCGGCCCGGGTGGGCGCGCGCTGCACGTCGTTCAGCCAGGGAGGCGGGGGGGGGGGGAAGCCGGGGGGGGG